GTGAAGAGAGAGTGGAGAATCACGATAAAAAATAGCACCTTCATCTAAGGTACCACATAAATAGCGCAAGATATGCTTGACAAGAGCCCGTGCTCAGTTGATGGTTGATGCATATATTGAGATAATTTGTTAACCGCATAAGATATGTCTGGACAGGTCAGAGACAAGTATTGCATACTGCCAACAATAGTGCGGTATTCAGTAGGATCTGGAAGAGGTGTGCCGGAGTGTAAACTGATAGGAGGACTAGTAGGTAATGGTGTGGAAACAGGTTTAGCACCTGACATATTAGTCCGAGCAAGGAGATCCATAATATAACGACGCTGTGAAAGGAAAATTCCATGACGGTGAGGAACCACTTCAACACCAAGAAAATAGGAGAAAGTCCCGAGATCTTTGAGAGAAAATCGTTGAGCAAGACGATCAATAAACTGATTAACAAGGGCAGGGCAATCACTTGTAAGAATGATATCATTAACATAGACTAGGAGGTAGAGAATATTAGTACCATTGTTGAGGACAAACAAGGAAGTATCAGCATGAGAATTTCGAAACCAGCAACAAGAAGAAATTGGCGCAGCTCATGGTACCAAGCCCTCGGAGCTTGTTTAAGGCCATATATAGCTTTACTAAGCTTGCAAACATATGTTGGACTATCGGAGTCAATGAAGCCCGGAGGTTGGGCCATATAAACATCTTCCGATAGATGTCCTTGTAAAAAGGCATTGTTGACATCTAACTGGTGAAGAGGCCAACCACGACTAACAGCAATGCTAAGAACCAGCCGCACAGTAGCAGGTTTAATAACCGGACTAAATGTTTCATGGTAATCAATACTAGGTCGTTGATGGAAACCTTTTGCTACAAGACGAGCTTTATACCTGTCAATAGAACCATCAGAATGTCGTTTAATACGAAAAATCCATTTACAACCAACAATATTAGAGGTAGAGATAGGTGGAACAAGCTTCCATGTCCCATTTCGGACTAAAGCATCATACTCTTCTGACATGGCCCGACTCCAGTTGGGATCTTTGAGAGCTTGGGTTACAGTTGTGGGTTCAATGGCGGAGATAGGGTTAAATTGTGTATGAAGGTTGAGCTTTCTTAGTGGTTTGTGTATGTTGTTTTTAGATCGGGTAGTCATGCGATGGGGGTTAGTGGTTGGGGAAGCTGGGTGTGTGTGTGGTGGGTTGTTTGGTTGTTGGGTTGGTTGCTGGTTGTTGACTTGGGTTGGTGGTATTGAATGTTGAAGAGGTTCCAATGTTGTAGTCACATGTAGAGGGGTAGCCGTAAAGTGTCTGTGGTAGGAGGTGATGAAGGATCAACACACGTTGGAATTTCTTGTGGGCTTCCAGCAGATGAGGTAGTGTGTATCGACTGGGAAGGACTAGGAACTCTGACAGTAATTATTGGAGGAACCCAGGTATCAAAGGTAGTGGAGTCAGGACGTGGTAATTGATCATGTAGTGATGTGTAAGGAAACACAGATTCGACAAACTGGACATGACGAGAAATTAATATTTTTGTGGAAGATGGTTCAAGATACAAGTAAGCACTTTGAGACAACGAATACCCGAGAAAAATGCAAGGTTTGGAGCGAGCGTCAAGTTTATGGGAGGAATATGTTCTAAGCCATGGAAAACAAAAACATACAAAAATCTTGAGTAAGGAATAGTTAGGAGCAGTACCAAAAAATGATGACACCGAATACCCGAGAAAAATGCAAGGTTTGGAGCTAGCATCAAGTTTATGGTAGGAATATGGTCTAAGCCATGGATAACATAAACATCCGAAAATCTTGAGTTTGGAATAGTTAGGAGCAGTACCAAAAATTGATTCATATGGTGAGGAAAGGCCAAGGGTGTTGGTGGGCATTCTATTGATTAAATAGACGGCTGTGGCAAAAGCATGGGACCAAAAAATTAATGGAAGAGAAGCATGTGAAAGTAATGTGAGGCAAGTCTCAACTATGTGACGATGTCGTCATTCGGAATAGCCATTATGTTCAGGTGTATGTGGAGGAGTTGTGAGATGAGAAATGCCAGTTGTTGCTAGAAAGTCTTTAAGGGCCATGTATTCACCCCCATTATCTGAGTACAATGTGAGAATTTTTTTGTTGAAACGATTTTCCACAATGGTTTTAAAGCGCATAAAGATTTCTTTAACCTCAGATTTTTTTTGTAGTGGATAAAACCAGATATATTTGGTAAAATGATCAATAAAAATGACGTAATATTTGAATCCATCGTGTGAAAGAATAGGAGAAGTCCATACATCAGAAAAAATAAGTTCAAGAGGCTGTGAAGAGTGTAGAGATGATGTAGAAAATGATAGCTTATGACTTTTATTGCAATAACACGCATTACAAAAAAAATCTTTGGACAAAGGGGATGACAAATCTAAATGATAATCAGAAATAATATGCTTTAAAATTGGAAAGGCTGGACGTCCTAATCTATGATGCCAATTGGAAGAAGTGGTCTTGACACTTGAGAAGGCAAGAATTGGGGAGGATGACTTGACAGTCGGCCACACATACACACCATCCTTAGTGTTACCCAGCACAAGAATTGCCCCCGTGCAAAGATCCTTCACCTGAAAAGAAGTTGGTAAGAACTCATTAGAGACATTATTGGTGGTGCAAAATTGAGAAATTGAAATTAAGTTCTTTTTTATGTTTGGCACACAGAGGACATTGTTTAGTTTAAATGAAGAGTTAGGGGTGTGAAGAGAAGTGGAACCCGTGTGTGTGATGGAAAGACCTGTGCCATCTCCAATCATAACATCGTCGGAGCCAGTATGGGGAGAATGAAGAGATAAATTGCTTAAGTCCGATGTGACATGATGAGATGCACCACTATCAAGTAGCCAAGTTGGATTGTTGGAGGCAATATTAGCAGCAAAGTGAGCTCGAGTCTGCTAAGGAGTTGATGGAGTGCTAGACGGTGTAGAGTGTCTGTTTGATGGCTGAATTGGAACCAATTGGAATGACGGGCAACGCTTGGCTGTGTGTCCTTGAATGCCACAGATCTGGCAATGGCCTAAGTAAGGGCGTGGCGATGGACGATTGTCACGAGTTATTGTGCCAGAGTTCGAAGTCAATGCAGGACGAGTATAGGAATTTGGCGACGAGCGCCAGCCACTATTGCCATGAGGGATTGGACGCCAATTATTGTTGGGATTTTGAGGTCTCCAGTTTGTGCTGGTCCTGGTTGTTGGGTTGGCAGTTGCTGGGAAATGAGCAGATCCCTTTGTTTTTCCTTGAAGAGAGGCTTCAAATGTTAGGAGTTTCTCATGGAGCTCATCAAATGAAATGGGGTTATCACGAGCTTGAACAGCACGAGTCAATTCGGTGTAATCATCTCCTAGTCCATCGAGAATCTTCTCAGTAAGATCTTCCTCATCTATTGGTGCACCAAGTATAGCAAGCTCATCTGCACGAGCTTTCACGGAGTGAAGAAAGTCAGTAATATTTAGAGTGCCTTTGGTGGAATTTTTGAGAAGAGTCTTGACTTGTTTAATACGTCCTCGGGATGGTTTGGCATAGGTGTTAGCTAAGATGGTCCATGCTTCCTGTGATGTTTTGGCTCTGGCAACAAAAGGAATGATTGTAGGAGAAAGTGAGCCAATGAGAGCATTAAGGAGGAGCTGATCTTGACGAACCCATATGTTGTAGGCAGGATTTGGTGTGGTTGAATTGTCTGTCATCACAGTGAGAGGTGGACAGGGCTTGGAGCCGTCAATATATCCAAGAAGGTCGTAGCCTATAAAAAGAGTTTGAAACTGAAGTTTCCAAGAGACATAGTTGCTGGTAGTGAGTTTGAGTGGGGCTTGAGCAGAGGTGTTGATGGTGATGAGTTGATATTCAGTGGTATGGAGAGTGGTTCAATTTGTTGGAGTAGTTGTGATTGTGGGATAGGAGTTCGGAGTGTCCGGCGAAGTGGTTGGAGTAGTCATTATAGTGTATAGAGGAAGAGAAAAAAAAAAATTGGAGTTTTTCAATGGGAAGAAAGGTGCTCTGATACCATAAACAACGATGGACAGAAGCTCACAGTTTTCATTACTATTGAAAGAATTATATAATACAAGTTGTAACAAAGGGTCCTAAATATAAGGCTATAGCTCAGAGATAGCTCGGAGATATTTACATTTGAATATTCAAAAATAACAAACAAACTAACTAAAGGATAACAACAAAAGTCAAGGAGAACAGCTGTCATCTAATAATTTTCACATTTTATTGCATATATTTATCCATAGTTAGTTTGACTAGTATAAAAATAATGTTTTCATGTAAACAAATAAATATTAATTAATAATAATTTCATATTAAACCCTTGTTTGATAATCATTAAAACAACTTTTTTTTTCTCAAACTCATTTTCAATTACACATTATCATAATATAATATTTCGCACATAAATTCAAAATTTTTTCTACTTTTTAATTTTAATCACAATTTCTTTAAAAAATTATTATTTCAAAACTCATCTTCTTCAAATAAAATTTTTTAACGGTTGTTAAATAGGGGCTAAATTATAAGCATATAAGGATAAAATAGAAAATAGAAAATTATTTTTGGCGACTGCAGAATTTATTATAGAACAAAAAAAAAAAACCTTAATTACAAAAATGTTGTGCTTGACTACCCATGTTTGAGCCCCATTTTTTCTCCTTTTTTTCCATTCATTTTTTTACGGTACTCATTTTCAACCACACATTCTCCAAATAAAATAATATTATATACAAATTTAAAAATTTTCATCACTTTTTCACCACACATTCTTCCATCAATCACCATTCAAAAACTAAGGGGCCGTTCTCTTTGTGTTTTAATTTTCTGTTTTGAGTTTTGAATTCATTTTGTGTTTTGTGTTTTGAGTGTCTGTTTTGAAATTGCTGAAAATGAGTTCTTTTTGTTGTTTTGGAAAACTGTTTCTTCAAATTCAAATTCCCATTTGAATCTGATAAACAAGAATTGCTCTCTAGGCCCATTAATGGAGCTTCCCAATTCCACCCAGAAAAATAATCCCCTGTCCCAACCCACTAGAGATATCTTCATCCTCTCAGGCCAAAGCAACATGGCGGGCCGCGGCGGAGTCGACAAGCACAAAAAATGGGACGGTGTTGTTCCGCCGGAGTGCTCTCCTGACCCTTCCAAAATTCACCGCCTCAACGCCAACCTCCAGTGGGAGCCGGCTGCTGAACCCCTCCACTACGACATCGATTACAAGAAAACGTGCGGAGTGGGGCCAGGGATGTCGTTCGCAAACGAGGTGAAGGAGCGCCTGGGAATCATCGGCCTGGTTCCGTGTGCTGTAGGTGGGACTGCGATCAAGGAGTGGAGGCGTGGAAAGCCACTGTACGAGAACATGGTGAAGAGGGCTGCAGCCGCCGTGCAAAGCGGCTCCGGTGAAATTAAGGCAATGTTGTGGTATCAGGGGGAGAGTGATGCATTAACCCAGCATGATGCCGACAGTTATAAGGAGAATATGGAAACACTTATTCATAATGTGCGTGCTGATCTGAATTTGCCTTCTCTTCCAGTGATTCAGGTCAGTTGATTATGTTTTTCTGATCAAAATTATTGAGTAATTAAGCAGAAAATTGATTATTTTAGACTGAATAAATCAAAATTAGCAGAGAATAGAAATACCTATGACTAAGCATGATTCAATAATCTGTACTGGTGTTCCTCATTAGAGGAATGTTACCTTAAAACTTAGCTGAAGCCTGGAGTCCATATGGTAGAAAAGCAACACACAGCGAATCTATGCATGTCTGGTATGCTATCAAGACTCGGGGTTCTCACAAGATGGTGAATCATTTGAGAATATTAGTTTTGGAATCTGAATGTTTAGATGGATCGAATGGCTCGTTGGTATCTGATATAATGTTAAGATTTGACGTTCTATGTTGAAATGTCAATAAGGAGACCATCCCAAATCCTTAAGTGGGATTTATGCCTTAATTTTGCAGCAATAGAAAAGACGGTACAATATAATGAGAAAGATTCTGACTTTTCCCCCCTATTATTTGGTGCTATCCAATTCTCTTTATCAAATGTGCCATCATATAATCCCATACATATAATTTGGACTTTGATTGGTTTTCAAGAATGTTTTTTTTATTTCATAGATTTATTTATGTAATTGTTTATTGGGGTTTTGTGAATGAGAAGTGCTACATGTACATAAATCTATACATAATGGTGTCCATAATTACACTTGGCACTGGATCCAACCATTAATTCAAATCTCACACTTTCACATCAACAACAGAATTTTGTCCACATCACATTATGGACACTATTTTGTACATATATTATATACATGTAGACTTTTCCTTTGTGAATCTTGGCTAGTACTTGTACTGAATGTTTCTAGATAATGTCTTTGCATGACTTGTTTCAATTTTTCTCACCCGAAATAATTTTCTTGCTCGCCATTGTCTATATTCATTTGCTCTCTTCCCCTCTACTTTCATCATCTTCCTTTCTCATCACTCATCATTTTCCTTTGATTCAAATATATCTATCTTCAAATTCAACCAATGTCTGAACCTTTGAGTTCTCGTTTCCTAATTAATTGTCTTACTGATAGTTCTCTTTTTTTTTTTGATACAAATATAATCAAATGTTGAATTTTTGGTCCTCCCCTAGAGACAAAGGGCTCAATGGAAGGATGAATAGCACCAATCTTTAAAGAGCATGTTAGGATGTTCGTTGAGGTTCAATGTAGTAACTCATTCTAGTCTTCTCCATGTTTTGGTTTTTATATTACTTGGTTTAGGTTTACACAATCCCAAGCAATCCCGAATGTACTTGGATTAGTGCACAGTTGTAACTCATTCTGGTTTTGTAAAGACTTTGTTGCGTTCTACATCGTTAAGTTAGATCTCGACTCATGACTTGTGAGCTTGTAAACACTGTGGGAACCTTCCCCGTGCAAGATCTCCCCATCGTGCTTATGAACTTGTTCTAAATAAATTTTTGCTTCTTTACTCTCATTTCAGCTCCATTTCCATGATATATGCAATTTTGTCATTTATATTACGAAAACATATCATTGCGTGGTGTATACTATCGGTACTAGCGTGCCCTCCCCAATCCTCCCCTGAAATGTCTACATGAATCGAATGTGCACTTGCCTATGTATTTCTTTTTGGCTTAGTATACTGAGTATTATCATATTACAGGTTGCAATTGGATTAGTAAAAGGCGAATTTGTGGAGAAAATTAGAGAAATTCAGAAGGGGATTGACCTCCCTAATGTTGTATGTGTGGAAGCTATGGGATTGAAGCTCAAGGAAGATAACCTTCACCTGACTACAGAGGCCCAGGCTCAACTCGGCAGCATGTTGGCTGATGCTTATTTTGCCCATTTTGGGCCATAGCCTTCTTCCTTGATCGATATTTGTTTCGCTCTTTCGTTTTCTATTTTGTTTCCATTATTGGTGGGCGAATTAATGAAGTATTTCTTTGAAAAATTGTTCGGATTGTTAAGTTTATTGAGCTTGGATGTATAATGAAAATTTCATAAAAACAATAGTTTAAAAAATACAATTTCAAAATTAATAATCTTTTAAAAAACTTTCAAATATCAAGTGATATATGTCTGTAACATGTTCTCAATAAATGATCGCGATCTATAAATTGTGATGTATAATTGTATTTGTATGTGATGTGTTAGTTACATTAGCGAGACCTTGTGATTTTTGAAATGATGATGATGATGACTCTTGATTAATAAATTAAAACTTTAAAAAAACGTGATTTCAGGTAATTTTCACATTTTATTGCATATATTTATCCATATTGTAACTATAAAAATAATGTTTTCATTTAAACAAATAAATATTAATTATTAATAATTTCGCATTAAGCCCTTGTTTGACAATCATTAAAATAAAATTCTTTTTTTCTTAAACTCATTTTCAACCACACATTCTCATAATAAAATATTTTACACATAAATTCAAAATGAATAATGATGATGATGATGCTTGATTAATAAAATTAAAACTTAAAAAACATGATTTCAGGTAATTTTCACATTTTATTGCATATATTCAATAAATATTAATTAATAATAATTTCATATTAAACCCAAGTTTGATAATCATTAAAACAAAATTCTTTTTTTCTCAAACTCATTTTCAATTACATATTATTATAATATAATATTTTGCACGTAAATTCAATTTTTTTTTTCAGTTTTTTAATCACAACTTTTTTAAAAATCATTATTTCAAAATTTATTTTCTCCAAATAACTATTTTTTAACGGTTGTTAAATAGGGACTAAATTATAAGCTCATAAGGATAAAATAGAAAATTTAAAACTATTTTTGGCGACAGTAGAGAATTTATAATAGAACAAAAAAAAAAAAAACCTTAAAATTCTCTCATTTTTAAATGTCTTTGTGATTGTTCTGCTTGACTATTCTCCCAATATACATTTTTTCAATGTTCTAAAAAGCGTAAAGCGTGGCTAAACGTGGAGGTCAAGTTTCAAGCTTTACGAGCCTAGACGAAAAAAACGTTTTTTTTTTATTTTAAATTTTTAATCATTGTAAAAAAATTCAATAATTCAAATAATACATACCAAACATCTAAAGTTATAAAATACTATATTTACTTAATAATTCATACATAAAGACAAGTTTCAAATCATAATTACATAACGTAGATAACTTGTAGCTTAAATCTTATCTAATCTAACTCTTTATCGGATTTCAATTCAATATCTTCTTCTTCATCTAGTTCGTCCTCCGTATCGTCTAATACAAAATTATCATTTTCGGGCTCCCTTATTTCATTTTGATCATTTCTTGTGCCTCTTGTAAGTTCTAAGATATCATTCTCATTCTCACCCTCATCATCACAACAACCCTCTATAATCAAAGATTGTGCATTAGTAGCATCACTTGCTAGTAAAGTCTATATTTTGGCCTTCATCTTCTTCTTGTTCATCAACCTTGCATTAAATTGGATATAAATAAGATTCTTCATTCTCGTAATGTTAAGTCTATTCTTTTTCTAGGTGTGCAAAAAAAAAAAAAATGCAGTCATTGAGGCACGCCTAGGCGAGCATTAAGCGATCAATATTGTCATTGATCGCTTAATTCTCGCTTAGACTCGAGGCAAAGCGTTTTCATCACGCTTCCACTGCATTTTTTACCGAAATTATTCTTTAATTACAATTTTCTATCAAAGAAAAAATTTTAAAAATTCCCGCCACATAGGTGTTTGAAACCCATTTTTTGGAGAATGAAATTTTTGAAATAGTGATTGATGAGAGATTATGTGGTGGAAAAGTTATGAAAAGTTTTAAATTTGTGTGTAGTATTATTTTATTGGAAGAATATGTGGTTGAAATGAAGAGAGAGAAAAAAATGAGAATGAGAATTAGATAAAAATGGGTGTCAAACATGGCCTAAAGATCTTTTCTCTCACTCTCCGTCGAAATCGCGTTCAATCAGGTCCTCTGAACCATCCCCATTTTTTATGAAGAGCGAACCGTCATTCCCGGAACAACCAATCTCCACCTATAAAATCCGCTTGATGTCGCCATTGCCATCTTGCCTCCTCGATTTCCGCCATTCTTTGGTTTTTTCCCGGGGAATCGACCCCGGTCAGAACCCGTAGCTGAAGGATTCTGCAATACCACCAATTAAGCAACAATGAGTAACACCGCCGCCTCCACACGGCCACTCCGATGGCTGGCTCCGTGTTTCACCGTCCTCCTCCTCGCCACCCACTCCGCAGCACACGAAGACATCGTGACAGACGTCACTGATGGTGTGAAGTACGGCTACTCCAAACTCTACAACCTCACCGGCCAGTTCGTACACCCACTGGTTTGTATTTTTCTGTTTTCAATTTGTAATTCCTATTTCTGAACGTGATTTAATTGTTCGCTAATGGAGCTTTACAATTCAAATACAGAACGATGGAGTCAGTGCCAAAAAGCAAATCTTCATTCTAGCAGGACAGAGCAACATGGCAGGTCGAGGCTTAATTATCGACGGCGTGGTTCCAGTGGATAACACTCCCGACCCCTCCAAAGTCTTCCGACTAAATGCCCAACTCAATTGGGAGGTGGCACGTGATCCTCTTCACATAGACATCGACCTCGGCAAACCATGTGGGGTGGGGCCAGGGATGTCGTTCGCAAACACCGTAAAGGATCGATTGGGAGTCATCGGTCTAGTGCCATGTGCGAAGGGTGGCACCTCGATCAAACAATGGGAGAAAGGAGGTGAATTGTACGAGAAAATGATCAAGAGGGCTAAAGCCGCGTTGGAAGTTGGTAACGGTGGTGAAATAAAGGCACTTTTGTGGTATCAAGGAGAAAGTGATACACATGATTTGAAGGAAGCGAAAAAATATCAAGTTCGTCTCGGGAAGCTTATTGAAAACGTGCGTGCCGATCTTAATATGCCTTCTCTTCCAGTTCTTGAGGTTATAATTGAATCATCAGATGGTCCATTCAAAGAAGAAATTATTAAACAGCAAAAGGCGTTAACGATGCCTAATGTTGTAAAGGTGGATTCAGATGGATTGGGGCTTAACAAAGATAAAATTCATTTGAATACGGAGGCTGAGGTTCAAATGGGGAAAAGGTTGGCTGATGCATATTTAAAAAAATTTGCATAATCTTTGGATTGATTCTCACTTTTCTTCTACTAACTCATTGGTGTGTGTATACCTCTAAACGAGGAGGAAAATTCTTAATACAATATAATTGTTGCTAATTTTTAAATTCTTAGTACCACCGCATTTTAATCACACTTAAAATCCTACTTTTTTTTTCTCTCGTTACGAAAAACGAGAAAAATATTTTTTATTATATCAATGCATGCCTCCTACAAAATGTTTAAACATAAACACTATCATCAAAGACGAGATATAAAAATTAATTGAAGGTTGAAGATTGAAGATAAGCATTCGACGTAGAAAAGTTAGGGACATTAAGGTTGTGTTTGATACACAACTTTTTTCTTGGGAAATGGAATGCAAAAGAAGTGTTTGATGTGAGAAATTTGGTCAAGAAAAAATTTTTCACCCCCACCTCACGCGCCCTCTTTCCTTGTTTTCAGGGTGGATTTTTTTTTTTTTTACAATGAACACAAATTTAATAACCAGTTATAAAATTTTTTTTCACTTCAATAGATAATTTCATGTAAAATAAAGTCAAACAAATACTAAATTTTGAAGAAAAAAAATGATTTTTTTAGGAAAATTTTTTTCGTTTTTTTACTTTTTGGCAATGGAAACAAATTTTATAACAAATTGTAAAAAAAAATATTACTTTAATGGACAATTTCCATGTAAAACTAAACCAAACGAACACAAAATTTAAAAATTTTTCACCCAAAAAATTATACCAATCAAACACACTTAATTAACAACTCCCTAGAAAACCATTTCTAGACAATTACTTTCCCTGAAATTCATTTTCTTTCCACCAATTTTTCACCCTTGCAATCAAACAGACCCTAAGTGGTAAAGGTCTTCTACTTTTCTGTTGCTTCTTTTCGTCTTTCACTAATACAAGACACTTTAACTAAAGGGTACAGTGCATGTAGGTACTGGTATAGTTTTCGTTTTGAGCAACCTTATTGTGTGCTGATAACAAACTGAGGTACTGTAATTCGAAATATAATCCCACAATAAAAACAACAGAGTTTGTGTTTGGAGTTATTTTTGTTCCCTTGATGATTTGAAGATTCATGGATCTCAGCTCTTCTGAATGCAAAAGCCACTCCATCCACCTGTTAGGACTTCTTCTGATTTTTTTTTGTTGCATAGCTACAAGTAACTTATCCTCAAGTTATTATGCCGTAATCAATCCAGGTAAATGGCTAAGGAATAAATATGTTGGTGTATCACTTGTTGGCAAGACACTTGCAGTTATGGGCTTTGGGAAAGTTGGGTCAGAAAGTTGCTAGACGTGCCAAGGGGCTAGGAATGGATGTAATTGCGCATGACCCATATGCCCCTGCTGACCGTGCAATTGTGCAAATGCAATAGGTGTAGAGCTTCGATGAAGCTATTGCATCTGCTGATTTCATCTCACTTCACATGCCACTGACTCCAGCTACATCTAAAGTTTTCAATGATGAAACTTTTGCAAAGATGAAAAAAGGAGTTAGGATCATCAATGTCGCACGTGGGGGAGTGATTGATGAAGAAGCCTTGGTGAAGGCACTTGATGCAGGAATTGTAGCCCATGTTCTTGCTTTGTAATCATGGATGGAAGATCCAATGATCTCTATTATTTGAGACTTAAGACTGGATAATTAACGAGGCAAATAACATGTATATTTAATATTGCTAACCTCTGAGAGTATCTTTATAGGCGGCACTTGATGTTTTCATAGAGGAGCCCCCGCCCTAGGACGCCAAGTTGGTGCAACATTAGAATGTAACAGCAACTCCTCATCTAAGAGCTGGTAACATGGAGGCTCAGGTTTGCCTTTTTTTAAAATTCATTCTCCCTTTCTATTTCTGGCACCAGTTTGAATTTTTATCCAGGAAGGGGTGGCCATTGAAATAGCTGAAGCTGTTTTTGGCGCTTTGAAGTGGGGAGCTTGCCGCTCCTGCTGTTAATTCACCAATGGTTCCTGCTGAGGTACTCCGTCTTCTATAAGGTAGTAAACTACCATATGTTTCCAGAGATACATTGATGGAGTTTGTTTCTTGTACAATGCATACTCAATCAAAACAATGATATAATATTACTGCGAGTGTCTATTCGTAAGTGCTTACCTATCACGTGTGATGTGATATTAATTGATATAACATCTTACATTCTACATTTAAGCTCTGTTTGGCAAATTTATAAATCATTTATAAATTGGTCGTACTTCATTTTTGACCTTACATTTCAATAGACCCACAAATATTAACCTTATTTATCCACTAATACTTTCTATCAATTTATAAATTAGACCATAGAGAATCCGAAATGGAGGCTAAGATGGCAAATCAATTAAAGCCATCTAAATGCCACATCGGTACTTATTCATAAGCACTGATAGAGCCTATTTCCAGTGTTTTCAATAATTTGGTGAATGCTAAACAGAGGGGACTCCGCATAACTGAAGAACGGATTTTCACCTGAAAGTCCACTCGAGTTCATCCGAGTTCAGATTGCAAATGTAGAATCAAAATTCAACAGCGCCATTTCTGAGCTGGGGGAGATTAATTGAGGGTCCAGTAAAAGATGGCATTGCACATTTAACATAGGCAGGGTCTTTTGAAGTTGATGATAGCATAGAAGGTAGTATCATCCTCTGCAGACAGGTTGATCAGCCCGGAATGATTGGAAAAGTAGGAAGCATTTTCGGTGAGGAGAATGTGAAAGTTAGTTCCATGAGTGTCGGAAGGATTGCTCCAAGGAAGCAAGCTGTAATGGCTATTGGAATCGACGAAGAACCAAAGCAGCAGTCACTAAAGAGAATAAGGGGAAATTCCCGCGGTTGAGGAATTTGTTTATCTTAATTTGTAGGGTTGTTATCTGATGCTTAATGTTGAAATTATTCTTTCCATCAGTAGCTTTAGCTCAGCGAACAAAGAATTAAGTCGTACAATCAGAGCTATGTGCTGCATTGAGTGACCTTATCGTACCCAATTTTTTAATTGTGTTCATCTTTAAATTTCTTCTACGTGACAAACTTATCCATTTATAGATGCCTAAATGCATTTTGCTGCATCGTGAATACTCGATACTGCATAGTGGTGATTGCCGAAAAATTAAAAATTGCGATATTTATAAAAGCTCTTTGGTAAGGTGAATATTATATTAAACAAGAAAAAGCTCAAATTTTGTAAAGTGTGATACAGTTCTTCCGAATGCTATGAACCAAACAAACATGTAGGAGCTTTATCTGGCAATAGCAGTGTCAAGCTGCTAAGCAAACTAGTAGATGGATTTCTTCTTAGAAACTCGGTTTTATTACTTGAGCATAGCTTTTGGCAGTGAGACCACAGAATCTGTACAGTTAACATTGGGAATCATCCGACACTTAAAAGGAGGAAATTTCATCATTGAAGAAGCAAAAAAATACTGCTTCTCTTATTCTAACTGCGTATATTACACTCATGCTAGAATATTCAAGAATCAATCCGTGTTTTCAACTAATAATAAAATTTAGTCCAAATAATATAGCAATACTCTATGATCGTAATTGAGTAGTCAGGAATTTATGATCAAGTATGAACACGAGAACAGCAACCTTGTGAGTTACGGTGGTCAAATTACATTTATGCTAGAATAATCAAGAAATAATGCACGTTTCCACGATTATTGAAATTCACTCAATATATTATAGTACTGCTCTATTATCATAATTGGGTAATCAAGAATATGTGGTAGATGAGATACCAAAATAGTCCGGTTGACGAGGGCCATTGTCGAAAATCAAATCTCCACTGATTGAGTCTACGCTAAAGCTTTGGACTTCTTTCCTTTTGCATCATTTTTTCCAGATTTCTTGTCCTTCCTTTTAGGTTTATCATCCATGGCAGGTTGTGTATTCTGCAAATGTTGATAAATGGCACCCAATGGATCTGATTTGAAAGTAGGATGTTTAATGACTGTCTTCAACTGATTGCTCTCCTTCAACCTGATAATGAATATCATAGGAACAACTCACAACGTAGTGAGGAAAATAATGGCAATATTTAATTGTCTTGAAGACTTACACTAGATTATTTCTGGTTCTACTGTTGGAGTTAAATTCAGCTGGTCTTAATTCTTGGGAAGCCTTCAGCTCCAGAAGGAAATCTGAGAGGGAAGAAAGATCATATGCCTTCAGTTTCTTTTGCCGGCTCCTTTTCCATTGCTTCTTCTCCTGGTAGCACCACAATTACTTCCTCAGAAGATAAGATAGACAAATAACTATCCTCAAATGAATTTGCCAGCCATTATAAGAAACCACTACACCCGAAATAGAGCAAGGTTTCTAACAGATGTATTCTTAATATAAATGTCCAAATCATCATGGGCACCAAGGCTTTCAAATTCTCACATTTTCCTGACATTTAAGTTCCGATGCAAAACTGATCTCTATCCAGCTTTTCTACTAACTTTTACCCATGGTACATGATAACCAAGTAAGATCAGCACCTATGACGGGATACATCCCATCAACCTATCAATAAGTATTTCAATATTTGATCCAGAAAATTCGCTACAACCACATTATGATACCTCCTTATGAGTTGAACAAATTTACACATAAACACAAATACAAAAATATGAATTGATCCTCAGAAAAAAGCATCTAAATTCCTCATGTGACCTAATGAGGCACAAAATTCTCCAAGTCGGCCACGATCAAAATATTAATTCCGTTGTTTAGCGTTATTAGCATTGCATTCATATTTAAAATTGAGGACATTACATCATTTATATGGAGAAGTGAAAACGGGTAAAAGATTCATACCTTAGTAATAGATTTTTGAGCAACGGCATTTCGGATAGCTACAGAAAGCAATAATACACATCAAAAATTGTAGATTTAATGCTGAACATCATTCAAAAAGATTATTCATAACTCTATATTTTACTAATTCTAGTTCAAGTTGATATACTTCCAAATCCGTTGATGCACAAAAAAGCACTGGAAATTATGCATAAAGTTTGAAAGTATACAATCCATTGTAACAAATACGCAAAATTACGAAATTGAATTTAAACTTTTATTTAAGCGGAACAGATTACACCAATTACAAAGAAGTGGCTTATACAAATCTTTTTTTGTCAATGACCTCATACCAATCAATCGAATATTGATTAATTAGTGCAAGGAAATTACAGACAAGTGCTCACCTACTCTCATAAAACTGAACTTTTTTGTCGAACTTGCGATCTGCACAGGTATTTCCCTCTCCATCTGGTATGGAACTAACAAAACAAAAAATTAAAATAAATACAGGAATTACATTCGCGCACGGAAACAAATTATTGAAATGAATCTTACCGCGATCTAGTCTTCCCCATCGCTGAAATCCAAACAGTTCTATAGATTTATAATTTTTTATACCTCAGAGAACAGTAAGTGGAATTAAAATCAGAATTATAGATAATTGCATTTAGGGTTTAGTCTTTGTGGAGAGAGAAATTGAAGCAGCCAACAGGTTTTCCGTTTTAAACTGAAGAATAGATTTCAAAATTTCGGCCCGATTCAATTTGGGCATTGAGCTTCCACGTGCGAAAAGCAGTGTTGTAAAATGTGTAATGCGTTGCGATGTGTCGAATTCGAGAATTAAGAATCACAAGTTTAAGCGTATCAATACGAAGAATAAGCGTCATAATACGTTTTAAAATGCGTAATGCGTTGCGAAGCGTCGAGGCCGAGAATCAAGAATCACAAGTTTAGGCGTGTCAATGCGAAGAATAAGCGTCATAATGCGTTTCGTATTTTTAAGGCATTAAATATATTTTTATATAAAAAAAATAGATTTTTTACCAAAAAAAAAATAAAAAATGGGAAGCGTAATGCACACATTAGGCGCGCCTATGCGGGATTAGGCGTGCCTGGGCACTCGCATTATGCCGCCTTTTAGATGGAAACGCATTTTCCCGCGGGTCGTCGATTTCGACGCTTTTTTGCCGCGCGTCACGCCTAGGCTGCGCATTTTCACGAGTTTTAGAACACTGGCGAAAAGTGCTTTCTGTGCATCTAATTAGCTCCACAAATAATGTTATTTATAACGAAAACTATTGCTCATCGTTCTACGTAGTATGATCATTTGTTATTTGATATATTAATATAATAATTTTTTATTATCTCATGCACTGAATAATCGCGTAAATCAAATATCAGTAGTTTTCACTCTAAGTAGCATTGCTCTTATGACTAGACCATATTAAACTAAATAGTGCAATCTATAGTTGTTTATTACAATAATCACCTTACGTAGTTATCAGATACGACAACTTGTTATTTGAGATATTGTCTCAAACAACAAGTTAATACTTCAATAACAAACTAACACATAGAATGACATCTGAAATCGTTGACTGTGAGTAATATTACTCAAGTTAAGTTGGACTTGAAAATTGTTATGCAACGTGATCAAAATTAAACATAAAAAGTAAAAAGAAAATAAATATAAACAAAAAAGGTTAGAAAGTTTATAGATGAAAATAAAGTACTTGTTTGATTTTTATTTTTTAATAATCAAATTTTTTAAACTCTCTTTCTTAAATACATTTTCCACTTTCTTCTTTTCAACTACACATTCATCAATAAAATAATATTATGCATAAATTTAAATTTTTTCCTTATTTTTTAACAACGCATTCTCCATCAATCTATTATTTCAAAATACATTCTTAACAAAAAAAAATGGGTCTCAAATAGACACTAATAATAAAATAACTTTCACATAAACCTATAAGTTTTTTTTATATTTTTCAAAAAAATAAATAAATTTTCACAAAATTGTTCCCCAAAAAATCAAATTCTGCAAACTCAATGGTCATAATCACGTGATATGAGTAGCAAAATCTATTTTAGGGCTCTGTTTGGTACACATTATTTTTTTCATTCTCATTCTTCTACTCATTTTCAACCACACATTCTTTAATAAAATAATATTTTCCATCACATCAATAACTTTTCCTTCATTTTTAACCACACATTCTTCATCAATCTACTATTTAGTAATACATTCTTTCAAAAGAATGTGTCCCAATATACTCTAGATAATTGATCCAACATCTGTTCTGTCATATTCTACTAAAAATCATATAGTTCTTTCAAAAATTATTGATTTCTTATTTGTTACTTTTCTTGAATTAAAAAATTTTTTTTTAAAAAAATCAAGCATTTTAGACCCCGTTTCAGACATTCAAGAATCAAGGTTAACTAAAAAATAAAATAAAAATGAAAGTAGCACTTTTTGGCATAGTAAATCGTGTGTCGCCGACACAACTTTTCAAAATGGGTTTTGCTTTGACAGAAAATTTGATATAATTTGAGGTGGTAAAAAATGATTTGATAAATCAATGTTTTTATATTCATGGACAATGCTAAATTGAATTTACAAAAAAAAAATTAAAATATGTACTCTAATGATAATATATAGCTACTTTATCAAATTTATTTTGAACCCTATAAATATGGGGCAATATTTACAATAAAACACATTTGAATTTTGACTCTCTACTTTTCTCTTCATTTATTCTGTATGTTTCTCTTTTATTTTTTTAATTTTATAACACGTTATCAGTACGATAACTTTAATTTAATAACTATTTTTCTTAAATTTTATCTTTTTATTCAAGTTCCAAGATTATCACCGTTGGATTTATTCAAGTTCCAAGATTATCATCAGATTTTCTGCTCAATTGAAAAAAGATTAAAAAAAGGATTGTGGTTATCCTCGAGCAGAAGATTTTCTGAATAATTTTGCAGATTTAAAACTATTTGCATCGGGAAAATTTTATTTGTACAATCGAGATTGACAACCTC